CAGATCTGCAGATTCTGGGCTATCAAGCGGAATTGCCTGGCCTGGCCTCCAAAGTGGCCGTGATTATGTGGTGGAGTCACCTTGCCTGGGCTTTTTTTTTTTTTTGGAGACGGAGAGTCTCGCTCTGTCGCCCAGGCTGGAGTGCATGGCATTGATCTCGGCTCACTGGCAAGCTCCGGCCCCGAGGTTCACCACCATTCTTTTCCCACTCAGCCCTTCCGAAGTAGCTGGGATACAGGTGCCGGACCCACCATTGCCCAGCTAAATTTTTTGTATTTTTTTTTTTTTTTTTTTTTTTTTAGTAGAGACCAGGTTTCACCGTGTTGCGCGAATGGTCTCGAGACTCCTGACCTTGTTATTCCACCCCTCAATCCCCCCACAAGATCTGTATCATTCATCCATGCCCGTACCTTTTTTGTTTTTGAGTCGGGAGTCTATTTCTGTCACCCAGGTGAGTGCAGTGGTTGCGGATCCGCTCACGTCGGTAACCTCCTCCCACTCCCGGGGTTTGAAGCCATTTCTCCTGCTTCAAGGCCTTCCTAGCGAGCTGGGATTTACAGGGGATGTCAGCACGCCCAGCTATTTTTATTTTTTAGTAGAGGCGGAAGACGGGGTTTTGCCATGTTGGCCAGGCTGGTCTTGAACTCCTGACCTCAAGTGATCCCTCTGCCTCAGCCTCCCAAAGTGCTGGGATTACAGGCATGAGCTACCGCACTAGGCCACCTGGCTTAGTTTCGTAGTGATTTATTAGGCACCTACTGTGCACCGCCGGTACACCAGTAAATCCAGCAAACACTTTTGAGATATTCACAGTCTAATACAGAGGCCTGAAGGATCAAAGTTCAGGAGGGGAGTCTACAGGGTCTGTGGGTGTCCATAGGAGGAATTCCCAACCACGGGGACAGGGACTTGGGGTGGTCTTATGAAGCTGTAGCCTGAGAGCTAAGGCTTGAGGACTTTGTCCAGAGGAGAAAGTGTGTTTCAGGTTGAGAGAACAGCAGTCACAGAAGCCAGGACTAAGGAAAGACTGACAGGGGGACAGAGGTGGCTGAACCTTTCTGACTACCCACTGCATGCTTCCTTTGTTTTTGTTGTTGTTGTTTTTTGAGACAGGGTCTTACTCTGTCACACAGGCTGGAGTGCAGTGGTGTGAT